TATTCAACCAAACAAGTAACAGAAACACCGAATACTGTTTCTGTGAAGATGAGGGCAGGGCTTTGTCATTGTGGATCATTTTAAGGTACCCCACTCCACATACAATAGGAGCACAGTTTATCAGTCAGTGAGATATATTAAAATTCTCTTAATATGTGCAGAAATATGCTTTACAGGTGGTTATATTTTGCCAGATCGCCAGTAAACATTTTGAGCTGCAAAATTAAGACTAGAAAGGAGAGAAATTGCCACCCTGAAGGAAAACAACCAAAGCCACCTTAAGACTGAAATGAATGCATTTCCCACTTATTGATTTGGCACAGCACTCAGACCAGTTAGCTGAGATGCTTGCAGCTCCCACAGATTGTCTCTCTATCAGTTATCCTGTATTCAAAATGTGATGCTCACAGTAGGAGTTTTTAAAGAGCTGGGGTTGTGCAAATGAGAAATCACCAGCTTGAAACACATACCCTTGTACTCTTTATCATAATCAGTGTTACAGGTTTATTGACAATAACATTCATATCCCAGATCCTTACAAGTTTTCAGAAATACATGTTAATGTTCATTTCTTAACTTTGGGCACTCACAAACACAGCAGTTTGCCTGTAAACAGTAAATTCAGATATGCTTAATAAGAGGAAAAACATTAGTGTAATGTAACATTTTTAACATATTTATTATTCACCTGGCTATTCTCTTAATTGACCTAATAACGCAAAAATAATTTCAGATAAATCCAGTGTTGCTTGATTGCTCTGTCAGAGATTATGACAACGATACTCCAGTCTTTGCCAATTTATGCCAAACACATTTAAACATTTTCAACTGACTGGATTAACAAGATAAATGTCTAAATTGCTTATTGTATTAATTTTGTAAACAAAGCTGCTTCTGAAATCTTTCTCAGCTAATTTAAGTTGCGTTAAATCAAACTGCTCAAGTCTCTATGATAGGGGCATACATGTACAGCCAACATTTTTATTAAATATTGTGAGATCAAAGGCTGTACTTGTTATGATTTTTTACTTAGATGTGGCCTATGGGGGACATGCAGACCAACCAGTTTTTAACTTGCTCAGTCCTATAGGCAAATTAACCTCAGTAAAATGAAGAAAGATGATAAATAAAAACTGTCACGTAGAAACCTTTTCAGTTTCCAGATTAAATGTGAAGAACTGTGAGTATTTTGTATGGGCAAGCCTACTGTATCCATGCTGTGACTCTCACATGTGGTTAATTTTTGAAGAACGTATTATTAATAGTTAATAAAAGCGCTGTGTTGTCCTCTTGTGTGAGGAGTGTAGTGCAGGTAAAGCGAAGACTATAACATTCTCTAGCGTTTGTTTTAATAAGATGCTTTTAAATGTTGAACATGAAGAGGGGGGAAAAATAAGGTCAGTCGATTAAGGGAAAAGGGACCGTTCTAAAGCCACGATTGGCTGATTCGCAGAGGCGGTGTCCAGAGCCTCTCATGTCTGATTGGCCGCTCGCAGAGTAGTCGACCAATGACTGTGCGAGCTTTTAATGGATACGTTGAATGACAATTCAGGAACTCCTGCTCGCACCGCATGTAGCGCAAAGAAGGAGGCGTAAACACTGACATAGCTAGGTAGCCATCAAGGTAAGCGATAAAACGATATTAAAATACTTTCATCAATTTACGTTGTATATCTTTTAACTTTGAAACTAAGGCATGTTAAGATTGATGTTAACCGTTACTTGAGCGTTTAAACGAATTTTCTTTAGTTTTTAAATACGCACTGGTTTAGTTTAGACTCATTAACGGAGCGTCGGGATCTTGGTCAGGCCCGCTAATGCTAGCTCGTCACAACGACTTTGGTGTTTGCTCCCTGCGCGGGAAATTTTATACTTATGGTAAATTTACTCAAATGCCCGCGAAAACAATGTATTGTGAAAATGTATAGCTGTAACGGTGGGTGAGACACTTTTCTATATGGGGAAAGAGGACTGATCGTCGACTGAACCGTGCTTCTTGATCGTGGTCGTGTGGTGGTGTGCTAGCATGTACTAGCCAGCAGCATTGGTGTCTCGCGAGTACGCAGAAAAATCAACGTGACTAGGCCCGTGTTAGCGTAGCTTCAACCTTTGGTATTTGATTTCTGTTTTGGAAGCGCAAAATATTTCTGAAACATGTAGTCAGATATGTACATTTAACAGACATAGTTATTTTTTTAAACGACTCGGGATATCGTGCTATTGTTTGTACCTCGAGTTTGCTGGTATCTTTGAAGGCGTTAAATCAACAAATCAACGATGCGACATGCTGGCCTCTGAAGCTAGCTTTCTAAGTAAGCATGCTTTCGTGGTTATTTACGTAGCAGTCAGCAGTGGGTGGCATTAAATTGATTGTTTTAACGAGGATTACTTCATCACGGCTTTCTCCATCAAATCGAGGCGCTTTGGGTGTCCCCATGTGGCCCGTAGATAAACGTTATACGAAATTTTAGAAGGCGTTTAGTGACGAAAGTTGAAGTGGGACGGACACTTGGATGGACAGTAAAGCAAAAAGGAAACACGTTTCACTGTATGCAAAGTCAATAAAATCTATCGGAGTCATTTTGTGTCCCCAGGTCTTCTTTTGGGTGGGTAATACGCGAGAATTGATTACTCATTAACTCACATTCTTCCTGATTTGAATATCTTCAGCACTATCAGCAAACAGAAGTTTGACCTAGGGCAATTACAGCATGATCTCGCTGAGGAAGCCTTGTAAGTTAGCTTAGTAGTTCAGTGTAGTCTGGTGGTCAGTTATGATAGACTAGAGCTTGGAAGAAGAAAAAAACAAAAACTATTGTTTGATTTTAGATTAGACCCCACCCCGTAGTCATTATACTAGAATGACTCCTGTAGTAACTGTGTTTCAGTTGTGTGGTAAAGTTGTTTGACACTGGCATAAGCAATTTCAAACATGAGACAATAAGAGTTAGCCTACTTTGTCCACCCTTGAAAGTCATTATTATTTTTGTTATATTCATGTACTTTTTGATGTTAGGTATTTATGGCAGAATTTTTTTTTGTTTAGCCTTAAATTGTTTCATCAATTAAATTGCAAGATTTTTTTGACAATATAAATGTGAAATAGTGGTCTGCACATAGAGATGGACTTAGATTAATGTGCAGATTTCACATTTAAACTTCATTCTAAACTTAAACTGTCATCTATAGAATGTAACACAAACTGGTATCCAAATTTAGCACCAGTAAAGGGCATTTCTTTCATCTACAATGTCCATACATGTACCTCTCAAAGGCTTAAGTTGGACTTGATGGTCACATAATGTCCATACATGTACCTCTCAAAGGCTTAAGTTGGACTTGATGGTCACATCAAAACTGGAAGTTTGGAGAGTGCCAAAGATGATAGCCACATTCTCCAAGGGGGGAAAAGGGGGTCTTTGTTGAAATTGACACAAAAGCTAAAGCGAACAACTGAAAAACAACTGAAAGTCAGTGTTCATAAGGATCATTGAGTACATGAAACGATGTGTTAACTAATTTCTGTTTTGTTTTTTCTTGAAGGTAATGGAGATGAGCAGCAACAGTGAGTGCTTTGGATGTGGCCGCTCTGGACATTGGGTCAAGCACTGCCCTAATGCCAGTGGTTCGCGTGGCCGTGGCAGGGGACGAGGACGAGGCAAGGGTACTATACTATTCTTGCCACACCCAATATAAACTGGATTTAGTTATAGAAGGCATGGGTGAAAATGAAAGGAAAAGGTTGATTCTTGTAGTTTTCTGCTTTGCTTATCTATCTGTGTCATTACAGAGCTGTTCTGTTATCGGTGTGGAGACCAAGGACACATGGCCAGGGACTGTGACCAAACTGAGGATGGTGTGAATTCAAATTGTTTTTTTCAGTTTTACTTGGTACCAATCTTTCCCAGAAATGTTGTTTTTTTTTAATCGTTTTTCCCCCCCCCTGATCAGCGTGCTACAACTGCCACAGGAGTGGTCACATTTCCAGGGACTGCAAGGAGCCCAAAAAGGAGAGAGAGCAGCTCTGCTACACTTGCGGGAAAGCTGGTCACATGGCCCGTGACTGCGATCACGCCAATGAGCAGAAGTGCTACTCCTGCGGTGGGTTTGGCCACATCCAGAAGCTGTGCGATAAGGTGAAATGTTACAGGTAAATATGGTTCTGTTTGGAGAAGCAAGCCTGGTGCTACAGTTTGACCAAATTTCTACTATTTTGAAGCCCTCCAATTCTAATCTTTAGGTATACTTCTGTGTTAATTTTACAGTCTGCTTTTATCACACTCGCCACATTCTTTCTTTTTCAGGTGTGGTGAGATTGGTCACGTTGCTGTACACTGCAGTAAAGCAAGCGAGACTAACTGCTACAACTGCGGAAAGGCAGGCCACCTGGCAAAAGAGTGCACCATTGAAGCCACCGCATAATCAGTGCCCTCTGTTGCCCCTCCTTTTTTCAGATTGATGGTTGGTTGTATTATTTTCTCTGAATCCTCTTCACTGGCCAAAGGTTGGCTAACAGAGGCTAGTCCCAGGCCAGTGAGCCTCTCGACATGTAATACAAAGAAAGGGGTGAAAAAAATATCTTTCTGCATTCAATACAAAAAATGTTTTAGTTTGGTAGCGGTGTTATGTATAATGCTTTGTTAAAGAACCCCCCTTTCCAAGCCACTGGTGACCAGAGATGATGAATAAACGGGACTAAACATATGGGAATCTATAGGACCTCTGAGCTTGTGGAAGTGTATCTCAGTAAAATGAGATAGAAGAAGGGAGTAAATGGAAACCAAACTTCCATGTATGGTCATTTTGGTTTGTTTTAGTGGGATATGAGTTGGCCAAGAGAGTATGACATGGAAACAGTTCATAACATGATGCATTTCAGCCCTACAGCAGCTAAGTGGGCGATAACAAACTACATGTTATATTACTAAGATATAAAAATTTTGGAGTTGTTAAAAGGAACATGCTCTTTTATAGAAATCTGTTTACAATTTAAGTAACACGGTAGTCCAAGGCAGACTTTTCCTTTTAAAATGGCTTTGGAATTTTTTTTTTTTTACCTTGGCAAAACTTAACATCAACAGTTGTCAGAACGGCAGAATTAGGAGTTATTTGGGAATGAAAAATGTTTTCACAGAAAATCAAAAATGTTATTTTTGTACAATATCACTTAGACTACTGTATAAATACCATTTGCTTGTACTCAGTTTTTAAGTCGGAAGGAAAGTGCAACTGAAGTCCTAGAAAATAGAAATGTAATTTTAAACTATCAATAAAGCTGGAGGAGCACGGGGAGGATCTTCTTGTCTGATTTCTTTTGCAACATGTTCCACAGCTCGTTTTGCCACACTTTATCTTTACAGATGCTTCTGTTCTCAACTCGTCTGAACATCTTGCGCAAGATGTGGGACGCTGATAACTTTTGATCTGCTGCTTGTGTCCTAGAAGTTCACATAAAGGATTATCTGCTAGATAACCTACAGATTATTGTGGTATTAAACAACATGCAAAACTGGATCTTGTATTTTATATTAATCTAGACATGTTGTTAGTCTGCATCTGCAGTATTATATCCAGAAAACTACGTGTTTAACATGAGCAGGCATATTTCTTCCACTAAGAAATGGTTAAACACTCCCTCACTGGATGGATCGCTTTTGCCTATCAGGCTTCCTGCAGCACATTCCTGGCAATTTTTGGACTCGACGTACTCCTGCATGTGACATCAGCAACTAAACCGAGCTATTTGTGTGTTTGTCATTGCTAAATAAGATTCACCCGCATCCATTTTGAGCTCTCTGCTGTACATATACTTGATCCGGAATGACAAGGAGCGGTGATCAATGAGTTCTCCTATGTTGTCTTTACTCTGCGGCCTCTGTGATCCATGCGTGTCTTGTGCGTACAAGAAATGGAAAGCTCCACCTCGGTGTCTAAAATGGCAGCGGGGGTTGCGGTGCAGATGCAGCTCCTTCCGGCAGAGATGCAGCAAAAGACCCTCCTACTCCTCATATGTCGTCATCGGGTCTCAACCAGTCAAATTATAGGCGAGAAAATATATGAGAGAAAACAAGCCCAACCAACCAGCCAGCCAGCGCGGCCGGTGCGAGCCGGCTCACGCTTCTTAAGGGGTTTAGATTTACACATTATTGTCTATTTTGTTTTTTCTTCATTAACCCGGTGGGTAAGTAAAGGAGATGAGGGGACTCCTGCCGTTTTACCGGGGTTTGTACACCCTGAGTAACCGCCAAGCCAGTCGTAAAGCTGGGATTGTCGGTTCTCGGTGCGGGCTTTGCGGAACTCAGTCTAATAGCAAGGTACGGTTCGAGCTGTTGCTGTTGCTTCGGGCTCTGGCAAACAACATGTCGTTGACACTGATAACAAGGCGGTACTTTGTTTGTTGTTCTCTCGCATTGTTTTTTTGTTACAATGTATCGTATCGACGTGGCGTGCGGGGTTGCTCGCAACTTTCTCAGCTGTGGATGCGCTCAGGGATGAAACAACAGAGGCGCTGACATCAGGGGCAGCAGCAGATGTAGCTCGCTGTATTTTTGCCCCCCCTCCCACCATGAGAAAAACAAGCACTGATACACTGTGTTCTTTCTTTGTTTTAATTAGTCCCAGCTCCAGGGGGGGAAAGAATTTTGAGATTTGGGATACTGTAAGATTGATTGTAATATGCTAACAGGCCTGTGTACTGCTGTGTCACCATAGCAGTTCTCACTATAGATTCCTGTCTCCCACGTTGACGTCAAATAGAAACCAGTTGTTATCATTCTTACACGATGATAATGATGATTGCCTACAAAGAATTTAAGTTATGTAAAATAATAAATGATCAGTGTCATTGGAAATGTCATACTGTGCAGAGTAATAGATTATCCTTTTTAAGACATCATTCAAACCCATTGGTTATTCAGTGAACCGTTATTCTACTTAATTTGCCTGCTATTAATCACTCATGTTGTTTCCCCGCTTAAAAAAGTTCTTATTTGTTTGGCTGATCAGTGTGTGTCTGTCCTTCCCTTCTGCAGCCACAGCCAAGATTTGGGCTGTTGTTCGACATTGATGGCGTGCTTGTCAGAGGGAGGATGCCAATCCCTGCGGCAACAAAAGCATTTGAGAAGTTGGTCGACTCTCAGGGACAGTTTGTGGTGCCAGTTGTTTTTGTCACAAATGCAGGGAATTGCCTCAGACAAACAAAAGCGGACCAGCTCTCTCACATACTGGGAGTGCCTGTGAGTTTTAAATTCCTGTGCAAGTTTTAATGGTGTTAAGGGTGTATCCCCTGCTCTTTGGTGTGTGCATGCAGTGCATTCAAAACTTTTTCAGTTTACCCTTATTTAAGAAATAATAATTTTCTAGGAAAATAAGAAATGGATGCATAATTTTATTGAAAGATGCACAATGTACAAACTCTGTACAAACACACATGTTTGTACAGAGTTTGTACAATTCTAACAAGCTTTAAAGTCAATATTTGCTATCGCCACCTTTGTTTGATTTGTTTTTTTTTTCAACATAGGCTGAAGACTGAAAATTGTCCATTTGCTAACCTGTAGATATAAAACACTAGTTCATCTCTTGAGTTCGGCCCTTTTTTTAATGCTTGAATGAATGACAACAACAATTATTATTTTGGAAATGTTCAGGTAAAAGGACTGGACTGAAAATGAGTAAAAACGAAGTCAGTGTTCAAGAAAATCTGGCTCTTTGGAAGCAAAATGTAAAGAAATGGGTGGTGGCTTGAGACTTGTGCACAGTACTGAAACTGAAGTTGTTACGTTTTATCTCTGATTATTTTTGGATAATTTGGTCTCACCTGACTCCTTTGCTATTAACCTCACTACAACTGTGCTATTTTCAGATCACACAAGACCAAGTTATCATGTCCCATAGTCCCCTGAGGATGTTTAAGAAGTTCCATGACAAGTGTGTCTTGGTGTCAGGACAAGGACCTGTCCTGGAAATTGCTAAAAAGTATCCTAGAAATCTGCTTTGTTTAAATTTACAATATAATTTATATATTTACATTTAAACTTGAGTATTACTTCTTCATTTCTCCTTAACGTTCTGTCTTTAGTGTGGGCTTTAAGAATGTAATCAGTATTGATATGCTTAGAGAATCGTACCCATTGCTGGACATGGTGGATCACAACAGGAGACCAAAATTGCCGGTGAGATTTTACAATCTGGTGCACAAACATGATGTTGGAGATATGTATAATATAATGTCATAACTTTAATTTCCCTTCTTTAAATGTAGTCCAATCCTGTTGTCAGCCTTCCGAAAATTGAAGGTAAAAATAGTTGGCTCTTCTCAAATTAAACGTTTATCTTTCGTCATTGACATGGTACACTTACTAACATCTGCTTTGATAGTTTTGAAATTCTTGCAATTTTGATGAACGCTGTTCTAATCTTTGAATTCCACAAACAGCTGTGGTTTTGTTCGGCGAGCCGATCCGATGGGAAACCAACCTGCAGCTGATAGTTGACGTTCTGTTGACCAATGGTAACCTCGGTAGTAGTCACCAAACCCAAAACACTCCTCAACTTCACCTGCTGGCCTGCAACATGGACCTCATGTGGATGGCTGAGGCACATTCTCCTCGGTAAACGTTACAAAAAGCTGTCTTTTTATATAAAATGTTTTTTAAAAAAATTGTACTTAAGAAACTAAAACAGTCTTTCAAGTAATCAAATCAGTGTACTGACATATCTGTCTTTCACCGTCTCATTTTGTTCCAGGTTTGGCCATGGAACATTTCTTGTGTGCCTAGAGAACATCTACAAGAAGATAACCGGCAAAGATCTGAAGTATGAGGCTCTTATGGGAAAACCCAGTGAGCTGACTTACCATTTTGCAGAGTACCTCATCAGAAGCCAGGCCATGCAGAGGCAGTGGGAACTTCCCGTTACTTCCCTATATGCTATAGGGTGAGACACCAGCTTTTAACTCTGTTTTGCCTTTATACTTAACATAAGACCAGAACTCACTTATCATGATGTCTGATAGACAGATAGGCTATCAAAAGAAGATTTTACTGAAATGTTGCTAATAATTTGATGAGAAAACTGTTTGCTTTTAAATGCTTACGTGTGTTAGTTAGCATGTCATTCTGTCGTGCTTTAATTTGGGGACTTGCATGTTTCACTTCAGCTTTTTTTTTTTTAGCTGATTGTTTGTTCTAATTCATGTGACTTGCACTCAGCACCAGGAAAAAACCACACACATTTCAACATGTACTGATATATAGGTCAACTTCATGCATGCTGCCTGGGGCACAGAGTAATACCCTTTTCTTCTGCATTTTTAGGGATAACCTCATGACTGACATCTATGGAGCCAATCTGTACAACCGCTACCTGGAGGAGAGAGTTGCGAGAAAAAACCCCAAAGCTGTTGCTAAGATGGTGTCTGCCACTGGGTCCACCACGGCAGTGCCCAGGGAGGAAGAGATTGACAGCCTGTGGGAAAGCGAGCTCGCTCTGCCCTCTGCTACTTCCTGTAAGTCTGTCCTAGTCTGTACAGGGGTGTATAACCCCAACGCAGAGGTGCCGTCTGATGCAAATCACTGCATCAAGGAGACTGTGTTCCACGGGCACCGGGACTTCATATTTGACCCTGGTCTCGTGGAGCCAGGCCATATCGTGCAGGATGTGGCAGAAGCTGTTGATCTCATCTTTGAGCAAGAAAAGTTTGTGCCTCAGTAGTATTTTGAGCCAACAGGCTTCGTGTGGTCATGGAGATCCAAGCAGGGGGAAAGGGAGGGAAAGCGAGCATTAAACTGGTAGTACCACTTCATGTTCAGACCTCTAGAAGCCTAACACTGTGGACTTTGTTTAAAAACCTGACAGGGCATTGACATAATATAGGTCATCTAAAATTTTAACAATAAAGGAGATTTCAGAGGGGAAAAAGATTAAATAACTGTTGTTTTTTCTGATAGTCATTACCTGTTTCTTTTTTTTTCCAATAAGGAAATGTGTAAGAACTGCCTTATTTGACCTTATTAAGTATCTTTGTTAGATAAAACTACTGTTCTAGATTGTTACAAACCCTGAAGCCATCCTATATTTATTTACAAGCTAATGACAGTGTTTTTAAGAAGCATATTAACATTTAATCTTTATTCTTACGGTGACCTTTTGTTATTGCATTTTTAGCTATTTGTTTACCCATTTGTCATGGTAAATCTATGCATGAATATAAGAGTAATTCTTGTATCTTTAAAACAACTGTTCGATGTGCAATTTTTTTTTTCCTCTAATAGCACTGTCTTGACAGTTTCAGTTTCGACAGCCTTGACCAGTTTTTGCACAGATCAGCCTTTCATCTTTGTGTTACCATATCACCCTTTCATAACATGGTTGTTATAATTTAGGTCATTCTTAGTATAACTGACAGACCACTTGTAAGACAAATTTATACGTGTATACTGTATGTAAATACTGCTCAGAAAACTAGGAGAACAGTTTTTAACTTTGCTTTTTGGTGTAATTTTGAATCTAGCACACGAGGGGGTTGATTTCGGTTTTCAATGAGTCATTTAATTTTACTCTCAAGATGTTACGCAGTGTCTGTTAGTATATGTGTGTTTGTTTCAACTTGACTATTTAAAGAGCCGATATGTGTTTTTCTAGCGTTCGTTAAATTTTTTGAGCAGACCGATAAATGTGTTAGGGTCAGAGTAAGGTTAGGGTAACTGTAATGAACAACTTTCGCACAACAAGTCAGAAAATGTTCTGGTGCATTTAAAAATGTCAAATGTTTAAAGGGTTCTCTGATTAAAAGAAAACAAAGAAACAAAATGTGTCTCCCCAAGGAATTCTTGTTTGCTGAATCATGAAAGATTTTGCCCTTGTTTTGTTGGAGAAGCTAAAAGCTGAAATGCATTGGTTTGGACTTGGACCTACATGCGGTGGTCAAAGGAGCAAAGGGTTCAAATGATTTGTAAATTGCACAACTGGGTGATAATGACTAAAGAAGCTGAAATACTGAAAGGTATAGTATATTCCACTAAAACATGACTGCAAAGAAAGTTCAGATGACTTAAAAAAACAAAAAACAAAACTGACTTTTGATGCATCATCTACAAAATAACCAAAATGTTCAGAGTTTAATCCTTCAGGACTTAAAGGACAATTAAGGGTCTGTTATAGTTTAAGGTGCGAAAACATGAATAAAGGAGTGAAAAGTCAAGGACAAGACACTTACCAGCAGAGGATTTTTATTTATTAAAGGAAAAATGATTTAGGCAAGCAAGCCAATGGCTACTATTATGTGCATTTTATTTCAAAAAGCCAGGATATTTTAGGGTTCCCTTTAATCTTTAAGAGTAACTCTAGTGGACTAAGATCACTCAGGTAGCCTTTATCTTTATATTGTGCTTCTTGTGCAACGCATCCAAAACTTGTGGCAGTAACTCCATGTTGAGAAGCGGCCTTTCTAGATCCTCCGTATGACCGAGAGACTCTGAGTCGACACTGACCTCTGATAGTCCAGTGTGCAGTCTCTTCCTGTGTTTGGGCTTCAGTGAACGTAAGGAGTCTGCCTCGAATCCTGAGTGTCTCTCATCTATATCCAGAGTGAAATTGGAATTTCTGGCCAGACTCAAGCTCCACAGAAGCAGAACAATGAGGCAGCATAGCGCTACTCCTATTATGATGTTGTATATCCCATTAGTGCAGTTTGCAACAGCGCAGTGAGAAAAGTAGTCGTCACTAAGTTCGGTGATGGCTTTGTTAGACACAGAGCTTGGACTGAAGCAAACGGGCTCCTTCAAAACAATAGCCCTGTTCTTCAGCAACCAGTTCCTCAGGTAGTGAATTTGACAATCGCAGTGGAAAGGGTTCTTGGACAGGGAAACCTTGTTCAGCCCAGTATATCTGTCAAACAGGCCTGGAGACACCGAGGTGAGCCGGTTGTTCTGCAAATGGAGCTCTGTGGTGTCGGAGGGCAGATTAGGCACCTCCACGAGGTTTAAAGCGCTGCAGTTAACTACCAGTCCAGCAGGCCCGAGGGTTGAACAGTGGCAAGGCTTAATGATACTGTGTGTTACCAGGACGTGGAAGAACACTAAGCTCAAACTGAAGATCATCCTATAGGATCAGAAAAAGATTGAAGTATAATAAAACTGCTTAATGTGAAAATGTCTCATGTAAAATGGTTTAGAAGATGCTATAGAGACCGAAATTTTAATGTGTATGAGTGAAATAATGTGTAAGGTGAATTCAATTGTTCATGGATAGCCTGAAGTTTTAGAAAAAAATATTAAGAAGGAATAACCTCCCATTAAATATAGATATATACAATTTACAAACCTTCCAGAGTGCCAGTCATCTTTAAATGTCATCATACTGCCACCGTCCTAGTCCAGTGCAAAACCTGAGCCCGAGAATATTTCAGAAATGCTCCCCATGTCGAGGTATCCCTGTTTTGTAACGGACGTGCTGCTAAGCTCACAATAATCACGCGCGTAATACAGAACGGCATCAGTTTGAGGATTCCACCAATGACAAACGGTTATAGCGCCTACGACATGAAGGAAATCCATCTGCTTAAAAGAGATAAACTCTTATCTACTAAAATAGTGGCGGGGCCAACTGAAACTCTCCCACAGAGTGTTTATTACTAGCGTCCACAGCGATGCTGAGGGCACGAGGGGCATTTTGCGGCAAATTACAGCTCTGAGCATGAAAAGCTTTGTGAGGATTAGAATGCACATAAGAAATTTTTTGGAAACCTAACACTGTTTGAGCTCGAGGGCAAGGAGAAAACGCTTCTTAATGGAAATGTTGAGCTACAAAGCAGAATGGACAGTGAGAGTGTCACATTCAGATTTACAAAACTGGTTTAAAGCTGAAAGGTAAGTGTAGGCACAACCATTTTCACAGGCTGATCTTTGTGAGAACTGTGTATACTTTTCACCCATAGGTGGTGTCATGGCACAGATTTTCAGATCTCATGTCATTTTTATTCATGTCCTCTAGTGGAAACACCAAAACACTAGTGGAAAGTGGGAGATATGAGAGGCTAAGGATAAGACCCTAATGTGAAATGCCCGGCCCGAAAAAAAGGGGGAAGACAGATTGATTTGTATTAACCATGGAGTCACAACAAACGACACACGTATACCATAAGTCATATATTTGTTTATTTTGCGTTCAACATTGTCACAGTTGAAGTTTTACAATAACTGGGGTCTTACTGACTGACTATTCACTGTACAAACAGAATGCACATATAAATGAGGCCATTCCTCTCTCCTCCTTTTTTTATAATGTGTCTCACGCCAGACTGAACAGCTTGCAGCAGGATGTGTGTCATCTGTCTGTGTGTACGCTGGGCTGTACGTATGAAAAGAGAGCTGGATGTAAATGGCAGGAAACTTCCTAACAGTCTGTTTTTGATTTCTACAGCAAATGTCAGTTCACCACTGCTGGAGGCAGAGACAGTCGATATGTTCATATATCACCCCTCACATCCATCCATGAGGTGATGTATATACATCCTGATCTTAACTTGAGAATAGAGTACTGATCCTATACACATTATGTACATCTCCTTTAAGCCCCAGTCTTGGTCCCTTAACAGCGTCATAAAGATAAACCCTCTAAGCCAAGCAGCTCATCTGTTTGCACATCAAAATCCCGTATTTACACGATGAAAGCCCTCAGCTAAGGAAGTGCAATGTTCTTCATGTTTATAATTTACACAATGGCTTTGTTGATGAAATGCATGCTGAGCTTTAGTAACTACCAGGCTAACATGGAACAACAAGAACACATCAACATCTGAAAATTCCAACCTAATCAAAACCAAAGGAGAAGTCAAAATTCATAGGCCAACTTTTTTTTGAATCCCCCCATTAGCTCACAGTGAATAGGACACATGATGCATCAGATCCATGCAGTGCATTGCCGGGGTACTTTCTCGCAAAGAATGACTGTAGACATTTGAAGAACTACAACACACACCAAAAAAATAAACAAATTAAACAGTTTCAAATCATCCCAAGATATCAGAGTTATAGCAAAGATATGATATCAGTGGAGCGACACATTCAGCTGATCATTAATGTCCAGTATGTGATATGTCCGTCTTAAGTCACATGAGTACAAACGTGTGAGAGTAAGCCTGACTTATGGCGATGGTTTTTCTTCGTGAATGTTAAAATACATTTACAACCTGAATATCGGGACAAACAGTTTACTGTCACTAATTTACACACTAGAATAGACTTTTATTTGTAGAATGTAGAAAGTTATTCTTTACATATACCCAGTTTGTTTCTTCAGTTTGCATTTTTGTATATTGTAACTGCATTTCCTGAAAACAATGAAAGTGTTCTTTCAAATGTGCTTATCCAGCAAAATATTTCTGTTCAGCCCAAGGAGAAGTATATTCCCTTTTATTAAAATATATACACACATTCTTCTTTCCACTGTGAACTGTGTAAGTATTATATATATATTTATATATTTTTCCTTATTTTGAATGGAAAAAAAAAAAAGATTTCTCTTTTTTCACCTGAATCTTGTCCTGACGACAAGATAAGAGACCTCCACTTTCAGTACAAGTCTGCATTTTCTGAACATGATTGCACTTAACTTGCTATGGTAACACTGACTTGTTATACAATGTGCAGAGGATAGCCTCACATCAACAACATTACATGCAAAATTATCACTTACTTGACATTCCACTGAACTCCAAGTCTGTACCTCTAATGAGACCGTGAGGACAGCCAGACATTAATTTACTGAGAAAAGACTCTTGACAGGGGTCAAAAAAACCAAAATAAATAAATAATGACGCGACACGAAAAATGCACAGATAGGAGGGACACCTTGCTTGTTCTTAATGTACAAAATCAGTACAAAGATATTGCACATATAATAGAAAAAAAGATGAAAAAATACTTCACTATGTAAGAACTGATTTTATTCACTCACCGAATCCTGGTGAATAAAAAAATATTCTAAACAAGGCAAAAAGAAGAGCTAAGAAATGTTTCTGATTTTGAGAGTCAAGGAGGCAGATGTTGCACATGTTAAAGGCAACAGACTTAACATGTCCAGCACTTTGCTTTTGTAACAGAAACAGAGCCACGTAGCATTGGAAATGCCTTTTTCGCTGTTATTCTTCACTACGTTACGTCTTATGCAGCCACAATATTGGAAGGAAGCAGAGCTAACGAGCGACCTACTTTATCGGCTCCTAAAGTTGACAAGTGGAGTCTGCTTTGAAGCTTCAGCTGTGACTGCACAGCATTTTGAGGCCCATATGCAACAGCTGCCATCCAGAGACTCTTTCTAATCCATTTGGAAAGGCAAAAATTCCAGAATAGATTAACAGCCGGACTAAATGGGAGTTCACTCCTTTCAGATCTACATCCTGTTACCATAGAGTCAGTATAATACTGATAAAGTTCATTTTTGCTGATAATAATTGCAAGTATAATCTTACAAATTACTTTACACACAATATACTGTACATGAAGTCTTGACTAAATAGATTATGCAGTAATAATTGGCACATTTATTTATGAGAGCTAGGAGACAACACATATAGCTGTCATCTACAGTAAATACAGCACTAGAACTACTATGACTGACTCAGTCAAGTTCTTCACCTGTCCTTTGATTTAATTTAGTGTGAAATGATTACATCTAGGTTTTTCACTACATATGAGCTCTACAGGAGGCAACAACAAATAGCATTCAGATGATGTTGGGATCCGCAAAACCAAAGATTTGAAAAACTGACTTCCTAAAGGCTGAGCACGACAAGTGATGTCATTGCGACAGAGAAAACAGTCAGCTGAGTTTTCGTCTCAGGCCATCTTTTCCCCGTGGTTACGTGAAGGTAAGACAGGTTATTGAGGGAATGGAGTAGCAGGGAGAAGCTTGGTGAGAAAGCCTATTTTCTCCTCAGCTGTCACGGCCGGATGGTGTTTGTGGAAAACAAAGAGCATCTTCCTGTGCAGAACCCCACCCATACCCAGTACACCCAAAACCCCGATGGGACCAAAGTCCCTGATCAGGCAAGCTAGTAAAGGCCCTTAGTGGAAGATTTGAGTCCAATATCCATCCTGCATATATTTATTGGACCTGGAAGTGAAAAAAGGTGGCTGCATGTGATTGGTTTCCATCACAGCAGCAGAAACACAGTGGACAGGCCATAGAGTTATGCTGTCAGTCCCTTTGGTGTAAGCAAATGTCCCTTCTTCAATAAGTTCCCTCCTTGCTTCTCCTCTCTGAGTTAGGAGCATCACACTACGGTGCTGATGCCACTGTGTTTGGGTTTGGGTCCGCCAGGCGCCGAACCCACTTGCTGACTGTGGTGGTGAGAGTGCTGCGAGTGCGAGGTGTGGTGGGAATGCTGGCTGTAATGGCCGTGCTGCGAATGGCCGTGTTGGTGTGCGTGTGAGGAGTAGGCTGGGTGCTGGTGGTACTGCGTGTGAGGTGGGGGGTGGTAGTGGTGGTGGTGGTGGTAAGGCGGGGGATTCTGCGTGCAGTACTGGGGATGGTGGCCGTGGTGTTGGGTCTGCACTGCGTGCACCACCTGCGCCGTGTGATGGAGGTTGGTCGGGTGGGGCTTGTGCGATATGAGAGTGGGGTGACCAGGTTGGGGGAAAGGAGGGTGGCTCTGAGACGGCGGTTTCCCTCGCTTGCTGCCAAAGAGCGACCCGAGGATGGAAGTCGATGCCGAGTTAGGGATGGATGGATGGCCGCGGGGCACGCTCTCGCGAGGCGTGTTGGCTCTCCTTCGTGTGTGTGGACTGCTAATGATGGACCCCTGCAGGAGGGAAAAAAACAAGGTAACAGTGCGTCTGTGAGACACTGCGCTACTGCAGAACACCTACACTAAATTATAGCTACAAGGCACCAGCAGGATGAATTCACAGTTTTCTTTTTTTCAGATAAACAAGTAGCAAAATGTTATAGGACATGCAAATGAGAAACCAAAAATGTTTTCATGAGAGGCAGCACCAACACTAGGAAAATTTTAGCTTGGGAAAAAGACCTCACGATGAAGGGAGCTTAAATCCAAAAAAAGGTTTGCTGTAAGGGAACTAACTGCCTTGACATACAGTAAATCTGCAACAAGAGAAATTAAATAAATACTGTTAGAAATATAGATCATTACATTAAGGAAGTTAAGAAAAAAAACTTCTTCACTGTAGTCAATGTGCCAACCCCTCTAAGAGTCACACATGCAACGTGTTATAATCAAATGAGGCATAGTTTCCACATGCAGAGGGTGGGGCAGGCAAACTCGTCATCCACACAGTAGCATTCATCTAGAAGACAGAAGGCAGGAGGAACTAGGCGCTCATGTGCAGACTTCTCAACACGCCTGGACACTTTTCCCCATGTTTTGGGTCCAACATTACTCGATATCCAGGTGTGACTCTCCTAAAAAAAGGCTTTTCCTTTGGCACATGCTTCATCTAAGACTGGAGAAAGACCACAAGATGCCTTTGAAAGCAGAATGAAATTTACAGCGTCCAAGACTACAACTGGACACATGAACTAATGGACACATGAAATGAGTGAAATATGAATGAATGAAATCCACATCTTTCTAAGTCCATGTGAAACCCATTGCTAGACCCCTGGCTAGGAAGGCTACATTCCACCCTGAAACTTACATCATTTAAGAGAGGTTGTGGATAAGAGAAAAACAGAAAGACCCAGACAGGGAGAGAGGCTGGAGAGGGTGTACAGTTTCCTAGTGTCTTTCAGAGCTACGACCCTGCCAAAGAGAAGAACCAAATGAAAACCGCTTGGATGTGATTGAATGAAAGACAGAGACAGGCGACAAGGGGAGGGTTCAGAGGAGGCATTAGTAGAGTCATGCTTGTTTGAAGGTAAAGTGTATATTGGTCATATAACATGACCAAATCAGGGAAATTCTCTGGCTTCCAAAAAAGGGGCAGGATCAGAGGCAGGCAACCCACGCATGCACACTAACTGAGGCAAGCAGGTTATAAGGCATCCCAGGAAGAAAAATAAATGATCCAAACAAATGGACTGAGTCTATGAAGCAAAGAAGGTGTAAGACCAAAAATAAAGTTGAGTGTTTCACAGTGCACATCATCACATAGAGAATAGCTTGGATACCAGCTGCTTCCAACTTACTTCCACATTGCTGTCTAGTGATCCTGCACTGCTGCGACGCCCACGCTTGCCTGCCCGAGACATGCAATACCAGAGATTAGAGATCGACAGCACTTCTGGATCGACTACACACGTTTAGGCCGCCCACCAGTCCCATAGGGGGCAGTGCAGTGGATTGTGACTGTGAGTAAGATCCAAATATGGGCAGGTAGGGGGGAGGGCATTCAGGTCTGAGAAGGTGGTGGTTGACAGGTGGTACTGTGGTTTTCTTTATGGGGAAGGCACATCTTCACTCAGGTTCAAATTTCAGCTATTTTGTTCTTAAATCGCAATACGGAGGCTGAGTCAAGCAATACCTAAAGATGTTTGAATGTATTATCATAAATCTCAATAAATACAGACTCCATGACCATCGAGTCTTCACAGAACAAGGAAAAAAGTCCACAGTCAAGTTTTACCAAAACACAGCCGCTATTTCTAAAAACCTCAAGCAGGACTGTTGCTTCACCAGAATTTTCCCAGATTTTATTATTTTTTTTATCGGTTTTTATTTTTCCTCCGAGAAATTCGACAACTTATTTTTAATGTTGTCGCAAGATGCAGATTTTCATCCAGGTCAGTGTCGGCAAGAAAGCCAGTCTCGGTGACAGTCGCAGAGGAGACATCAAAAGCAATACAGTGGTTGCTGCACATGGAATGTACAGGCATATAAAGGTCTGAAGGTGGACAGAGCACTTTTGCCATCGTTAGGCACACTCAGCCAATGATATATGACCAATAATTACACATAAACAGGAGAATACCTGATGTGTATGGGCAGAACACAGTAAATACACATGAAATGTCACATGGCAGGAAAGGAAAAAACAAAACAAAATAAAAAACACTTAACCAAAGTGACCCCACTAACATGCCACGTCCTGCACTGAAAAAACAAAGGAGACAGGAGGGCAGATGGACTTCTGCTACAGACTCCTTCACTGTCTGATCTATCATTTCCCATTCAGGTAGTGATCATAAGAACAAAGCATATCGTATTACCAACAAGTGAGGCAGACCCCCGACTGGATTTCATTTTCTTATCAAGTTAATCACCTGATAACTTCACAAAGCTGTTATCTGTAATGAATGAAATGTATTCTTGCTTCAGAGACACAGCAGCTGTGTTAAACACTGATATTCATGGGTATGACGTGATTCTTAACACCAAGACAGAAACTAAGTCTTCATCTCGTTGCTGCTTAAGAATGGTGTTGTTTATAAACATACAGATGAGGAAATGAGACATGATTGCTGATTAAAACAGAACAGATTGTAAGGAATGTCTTTGGATTAAACAAATGCAAAAGTGCTAAATAACAGGAAATAAAGTGATGATGAAAACACAAATGGGGGAAAAAAAACTGCTCATAATAAATCATCCAAATGAACAGGGGTGACACCTGCCTGTTGGTTTCATCAATCAGTGAAAAGAAAAAATCTGCATTGCTAAACCTCTTCTTAAACAGGTCCGTTTTCAGTCTTTGAGCTGTGGAAAGTTGAGGTCTCTCTAAAACAAAGTATGCTGAGTACAAAAGAGGCGCAACACTGACAGGAAACACCGTCCAGACCAAACCATCCAGTCATGGGGGAGGGGGGAGGGAGGGGGTGTTAGATTATGGATTTAAAGGGAAGAAGAAGGTATGGTGCTGTGAAACAACATTTTGCTATTTTTATCCCCTTGATATCATCATAAAGATGTGGATGACAGAAGGAGTGTACTTCTCCCAGCTAGTAAAAGCAAAGATGTTTTGGCTATACCTGCTTCAGAGAGATCTCTAAGGGAGCTGCTGAGGGCGCTCCTCTTCAGGCCCTCACCCATGGCGTAGCTATCATCCAGACTGGCCCGGTTCATGTTCCCATTGCCTGCTTCCTTCTTCAGGCCAGAGCTCTGCGACATGCTGGGCCTCACTACCCCCTTCTGCTTCTCCAGCTCGGCTGTAATATTTAAAAAAAAAAAAAAAAAAAAAAGCCAAGGAAAGACTGAGGTAAGTGGCAGCGGTTTTACATCTCACTTTGGCCATGGAATGCATTTTTTTCCTGTTACGTATTAAGCCACCCTTTGCTGCCTGAAATTTATGAGGTGTGCAGTATTGATATGCTTAATTTTTAACATCCTGCTCTTGTATGTAAAAATGGAAACCGCTTTAATGTCCCCAATAATCTGCCACCCCTTCTGGTAACCATCCTGTGAACTTTGTAAACATTCTCTCTTGAAATCTGCTGCATTTGAGTAATGAGACCCATGCTCTGTTTCTACTTTACACAGCCTGAAGCAGACAGAGTAACGGGGGTGGGTGGGTTGGGAGGGGAAACGGTCAGCTCACACTCTATTCTGTATTTCTCCATTTCCTGGACCTCAGCAATGGACTCTCGTAGGTCATCTGTAAACTTCTTGCGGTCCTGGGGGTTGGGCGCATTAAAGTTGATAAGCACTTTGATGTCTGCACCTGGTATCGCTGATGTAAGTCTGATTCCATTTGGATAATCTGGGGCAATGGGAAACGGAGAGAGAGAAAGAGAGAGAGTCATTTACAAAAGGTTCATTCATCAAAACCGAGGCGAAACCCATCGGGTGAATTCTGTCTGAAGTTTTGGAGAGTATAAACAACGTCGCAGCCCATTTGGTTCGACTTCCCATTCCAGCTGCCTGTGTTAATGTGCAACGTCAAAATGTGTGATGTAAATACTGTCAGCTAGCATGCTGCACGGAATATAATAAATGGAAACTCTCAGTGCAACTTACACTGATTTTCAAACAGCATGACTTGCATCCCATATAGAGAAAAGGACTGTCTGAAGCTGTAGGTCACTGAATTCTTCTTTTTTTGGAAAATCTTGGTTACCTGAAATTATACAAAAATAACCCTGTAAGGACGGTTTGGACAGGGGAGGGGAGGCAGAAGGGAGAGGACAGGGTGATATTTACCACTAGGAGGTCGTTGAACAGGAAGATCTCCCGCTGATGCAGGCCTAGCTTCTGGAGCTTGTTTGGATCTGGCACTTCAAACAGACGGCAGTAACACACCAGTCTACGGTGCGGCAGCGATAACACCTACAAGGCAGAGGAAAACAGCACAACACTTTAGAGGTAATTATGGCCTCAGTCCATTGCGTAACAAGGAACAGAAGTTATTCTCCATCTGCAAATTTGAAAAAGGTATGGCCAAGAGATGACTAATTTATTCCTCCCTTGGGCGCTTTTCATTATGCCAACTTATGCCTCCTCACTTCCTATTTCCTCCAGTGACCTAGAAATTGTTAACCTCTGCCATTAGGGAAGATCTTCAAACTCCTAAAGCGCTCCAATTTACAAGGAGAGAGGAGGCTCCTGAAGGAGCCAAGAGCAAGGAATCACAGATGTATCCTTTCCGAAAAAACCTTTTACATTTTACAATAAAAAAGACGAACACTTATTATTGAGCAGATAATTATGCTCTTAAGTAAACATGGAACACATAAGAGATCCTTACATAAGATTTAACAGGAATATTAAATGCATATTAAATTTTAAAAACTGAGTTTTTTCGTACTGGTATGTGACTATGTTAAATCACAGTCTCTGTGACCACGAATAGCTTATAAATATACACCCATAGACCCATAAAGCTTTAGTGTTCATCTTGAGGCAACTGTTGTGATTTAGGGGCTATACAAATAAACCTGTATTAAATTGAACTGAACTGCCTTTCATGAATAATGTGACTCTTCTTCTCCTAATATAAATTTGGCATAATGGAAATTTAAGGTAGTATTCTGCAAAATATTGTAAACCAATTCTGTTTTCAAAAGTCACTGTAGAAATAAAATATTTTAGTTTGTTATAAATGTCATTATTTTGGGGAAAAAAGGCATAAGTAAAAATTGTATATCGAAGACTTTTTGTCTGTTTTGTTTTAAATGTCTCGGTATTTCTTTGTGAAGTGCTTTGTAATCTTTGTCTTAAAAGGTGATATATAAATAACATTTTACTTTACTTACCTTAATTACACGTTTAAGACATTTAGGATTAGAATTTCACATTTCTTCCTGTAAAATGATTCTTACATGAAAGCTTCTTTGGATTTTTGCACCAGTTTGACAGGTGACACAGCTGTGGAGCATGTTTTAAGCAACCATGCTCAAGTCTTCTCCAACCCTCCCCCACACATTCTTGTTGGCAGTAGCAAGGATGCAAATGAAGTCATGCTAGCATAACAAAATCACCTGATGTTTTGGATTCTCCACCCTTTTCATGACACAGGGAAAATTGTCCGACAGTGAATGCTGCTGCTGGATTTTCTTTTTGAATTCAAAGTTTAGTGATTTATTTTCCTGTAGCAAGTCCCACAAAAATGCCAAGAAAGAGTAATGAGCCATCAATCCAACAGTCGTACACATGCACACTGTGCAGACTGATCCAATAGGTGTTCTCTTCGAGAGTATTCAATAACAGGTGACAGGCTACCTTCTGGGTTTTTTGTTGTTGTTGTTTTAAATACCTAGGTTACTGTGCGCAATGATGAAAACTGTAAAAGAGTTCATTCAAAGTTTAGGTAGCCTTACATATATAAAAAGCCAGTATACGTGGCACTCAAATGAATGCACTACTAGTGCTAAGTCAGCTTAGCATAGCTCATTCCTTAAGGATTGATGTGACAAGCACACCGCAGTGATATACACCCTGCTGAGCACAGAATTTGTAAACGCTACGGCTTAGCGCCACCCAAAAAATTTATGCCTTTTGATTCTGCCACCAGCGTAAAACACTAACTGTCCATCTCTCACCAACCAGTGTAATGTCTCTGGGAAAAGTCGTTGCCAGTCTTGAAAAGCTGACTTAAAAAGTAACTGCATGATGTTGAGGAATCACTAAAGAGACAGAGATGCAAAGTGAAACAAAGAATAATAAATGATCATCTGATTTACAGATAATCTACTTACACATCCCAGGCCATGGTGGAGAGATCCAATCTAAAAAGAGAGGACAGAGACGATGTTAGGTGCAGTTAGTATATTGAGATTATTTGCACTAATGCTTCTTATAACTTAAAAAAATAATTATATATATTCCCTTCTTAAGAAGGATTTGCCCTTGTTAACAGTTTTCCCTTATAATGCCTATGAAAATGCATGCACCTTATTGGTTTGGTGCAAAAGTCGTCGATTTTTCTTTGTCTTCAGATTTGTAAGAATCAATAACGATACTGGAATGAATACAGATCCTGTGCCAGCACTAGTGGACCTGATTATTATAGAGAGGATTTCCAGCATGCCTTTTATGTTAAACTGTTTTACTACGTGTCCTCCTTAATTATGCAGCTAAATGGTGACAAGGAATCATTTTTCAATACATTCAATTATTACTGGCAGAGCAGAACAGACTCCATTCATCTGAAAACCGACTAAAACAAAGTCATCCATGCCAGACAAGCCTCTCCCTGAGGGTAAGTTAATCACACCTTTAACCTTCACACATGGCAGAAACGGTATTGCCTGCAGAATACTGCAGAAAGGCTGTCTCCAGCTGCCTACAAGGGAATGGAGTAATGGGAGAACAAAATCTGATAATAACTTTGATCCAGTATGTATGGAAAGAGATAAACAGACTAATAACTAATCAACGGATTAAAGCAATGCAACTTATGCCAGTCAGTTAAAGAAAAATGGATTTTGCTCTGCTCAAGGATAGGAACTACTATATTGTGTTAAAATGGCAGGATGTGCCTATTTTTCATCAGACTGCAGCAGTGTGCGACATTTCACAAAGGCCTTGTGTGTGTTGAAATCACCAGTGCGTGTCTGAAGACTTTTCTACATCTTAGCGTTCCTTCTCTGAAATAAGCTACGTAAGAGAGGGTAAAGGATATGTCCTGGTCTGTGATGTCTTGCCTTGTAATAAAAATAAAAAATAAGAAATCCAACTAACAATTTTGTGACCTTGACAGAAAGACTAAAAAACACATAACTTACTGGTTTCTTTCCCACAATGAGCTTCTCAACCTTCTGCACCTGGGAGACGTGGTCTTCGTTGGTTTTGAGCTCTCGTTTACGAATCCTCTCGTATATGCCGACCAGAGTCTCCCGGGGTATGTCCTCTCCATCATCCACACCTGAAAGTCAACGTACACATACACCTGAAGCATTAGAACAACAGTAAAAGGATATTTTTTTTCTTTTTAAAGGTCAGGATAGTGAGAGAAGAAATTAATAAAGCAAAGAGGATTCAAATTGTAAGGGTTGGTGACCTACTCTGCCCCTCTGTGGTGAAAGGCTTAATTTATTTTTGAAGCTGAATTTCACTTATTGCCCCGTTAAGGTCTATATATAATGCCTTCACATGTATTTCATAATAACAGTTTTCTGTTACCTCTTAAGTTCTTGATAAAGTCCTCCAGCTTCATCTTCCTCTCTGGCTTGACGTTGGGGCTGTACATGTCGGTGTTGAGGAGGATGATTGCAAAAGCTAGGATGAAGATGGTGTCAGGGTTCCTAAACTGCCGCACTACTGTTGGGTTACAGATGCAGTAGCGCTGGCTAAAAATAGAAAACAGGAGCATTAAGTAATGTTAAGGAAGAGCAAAACTCAGACTCTAAACTCGATGCAAGCGAGTCAGAGTGAGGAAATGTTTTCAACACTGCCTGAAGAAAACAGAAGTAAATGGGTTCTCTTTATGAACCAATAATTATGCAGATGACACAGCTGTGAGGAAGACCGATGATGTTTATTAAAATGCTTTCAGTATTATGAACACTAATGCTAATGTTTTACTGCACTTGACTACATGAAATACACAGGGGTCGTTAAGAATCAGCTCGGTTTAATGATCATAGTAAATAAATCCATTTTCAGTAGGAGGATTGGGTCACTAAACTTTCTCAAAAATAAAAAAAAAAAAGTTTATATTGCATTTTTTTTTTTACATATACGGCATAAAACCCCAACCTGAAAGCCTCAATGAGCCGCTCCACCTTCTGTGCTTCACCCTGGACGCGGATGTGGTTCTGAAATTTCCTCAGGGCTTCGTCGAGCTCCATGCCCTGGAAGTCCATTTCGTCTACCACACAGCTGGTACGTGAGGAGAGGGATGAAGAGAAAAAAGGCAAATACATCAAAACACAGACTGCCACAGTTTTTGTGCTCATCCTCATTCACTGGTAGCTCAACAGGGATGGTTTGGCCCAGATTCTATCATGGAGGATATGTCAGTGAATTCTTGTCATATTGGTGCCATAAGTCACTCTCATAGACTGTGGGATCTTCGTTGAGTAAATCCTCTGAGCAATTGCTTAACTGTTTTCATATGTTCCACACTCCTTTTTAAAAAAAACAAAACTAAGTATGCTTTGGATTATTTTACTGTCAGTAATAACAATATTTTTTTGATCATTCCTGTGGCGATACTTACTCCAAGACATCTCTGTTGAACTGCTTCTGTCGATTGCCAAGAAATTCTCCAATCATCTGCCTGCTTAGCCCCTTTCTCTGCAGCAGGAAGTGAGCCACTCCGACTGGCGTGTCAGGGATGAATCCTCTCTCAGTAAGATACTGAATGCCCTTTTCTGGCTTCCTGAAAAATTCAACATGTCCCCGGATGGTTTGTTTTTAATTCCTGGACAGATGCTGGCACATTTTTAAACTGGGAAGAAGAATATGCTGCTGCTTAATCTTGAGTTCTTAGAAAATCCATCTATATTACTGTTATTACCCAAAATTTTGACACAGGCCTAAAAACAAAACACACACACACTTCAAACCTCTCATCTTATTGTCATGTAGTTACGTCAGATAAAATCTAAGTTATACAGATGAGTGAAAGGCTTTCATTAAGAAAGAAATATATCTCTGGAAATATTAAAGCAGTGATGGTGCAATTTAGTTTTATCAGTCTTACTAAGCAAACAATAGAACTGCTGTTTGTCAAACACAAATAGAGGTATTACAGTTTGTACTTTTCAATATGAGTTTCATTATGTTGAGTGGGTTTATTTTTTTTTTCTATTCCATTTTTCTTTTAAAAATAGTTTTATTAATTCCTAATAAAATTAATTTTTTAATGATTTTTTTTAACTTAAAAAAAAAACAAAACAAAACTATAAAAGGATCAAAATTTATGAAGTTCAGAAGAAACATCAGTCATGGCAGCAACATGCGTTTTTAGCCTTCACTATAAACGCAGGTCAAGCATGTGCTCCAGCAGAGCAGAGTACCTACTTGTTGAAGAGATTCAGGCCGATGCGGTAGTGTCGCTTCCGGATAACATCATTGCTGAATATGGGCGAATCCCAGCTGTTGCGAGTCTCTTTGTGGTAGGTCTGCTTACTTAAGGTCTGCTCTCGCAGGCTGTCTCTTGATGAGGACTCAGAGCTGCAGTTAATGGTGTCATTTGAGTTTGATGTGCTATTGATGCTGTCATTGTCCCCATCGGAGAAATCGGACTCTGACTTGCTCTGTCTGTTAGCTGAGCCGTTGATAGCCAAGTGGCTTTCTAACTGTCTGTGGCGGTGGCGAAGAGGCGCGTCGTCGTCACGGGAGGGAGCTCGTGGTGGGGGCCCGTGGGAAATGTGTTTGGGGCTTGCTTGGGACGATGTTACAATGTGGCCGTGAGGTTCATACACAGGTGGCCGTTTGACAGTGCTCCGCTCTGACCGGTCGCTGAGCTCTGCGGAGCTATCGCTAGGAGGTTCTATGGTCAACAGAGGAAGATGGTCCATTCTAAGACGCTGCTCTTGGCACTCTAGAGAAGGAGTGCTGCGGCAGCTTGTGTCTGTGTCACGACCCTCATCTTTGGGGTCAATAGGCCAGTATTCTTGAGAGGAGTTAACTGACCGCAACCGTAAGTCTGATTCTGTGCTGGAGGGCTGGTCCCCTGACCTGGACAAGGCAATAGAAGGGGACATGTCCTCCTCATCGATGAACAGAGTAACATCGCTATAAGACGCCATCGTTTCATCGCGCATCCGTCCAGCTGCCCTATGGTGAGACTTCACCTGATACTGCACATCCCCCTGTCTCTCGGAGCAGCCGATAGCCTCTGGGTCAGGACCCTCATCCCCCTGAAGGCTGCGACAGTTCAGAGCATCATCTATCGACTCAGCCAGAGACTTGACTTGTCTTGAAAAGGCGTCCTCCAGCTCTGTGATGGCATCTGTAAGGTCACCCTGCGGTGGAGGGTGTGCCATGTTGGCCTGCTGGTGAACCTCTATATCTCCGCATTCTGACTGCACCATGGACAGCGGGGTGCCGTCCTCCGTCATGGACACCTGCCTCCCCTCAAAGTATGAGCTGTGGACTTTTTCGGGGCCCTCAAATGAGAGCTGCATCCTCATGTTAGAAAGTACAATGCGTCTGGACATACGGTTCTCTGACATAGAACTCCTGAGACGTTCAAAGTTCTTGTTCATCTGATACTGGCGGAACGCCGTCTGAATGGTTCGAGCTGCATGTCGAGTTATGAATCGTCCACCATATTTGCGCTCTAGCATCTCCACCTAACAAAAACACAAGTAAATTAACTGTAAGACCCATGGGTTACTTAATTGGTTTTCTTAGCTGCAGATGGTCTATAAAGTCATCATCGTGGATGTCCTGTTAGAAGCTAACAAAGTGTTCTTTACACAGCTAGCTTTCTGACAAGAAAAGATTCAAAATATATGATTTTTTTAAAAAACAGATATCATGCGACTCTTTGAATTTCTGTCAAAAACAGTCTTTTACCTGTTTATCCTGGAGGTCAGCAGAGAGCTCATAGCTCTCAGAGAGCGATCGGGACCGCTTGATGGCCTCCTCCTCAGCCTGCTTACGGAGGATGGACTGTGAGTGCTGGAGCTTGGGTCGTCGGGGCCTCTGAGGCCCAGGCTGGACCCCGTGGCTGTAAAGTGGGCTGTCAAATCGGTCGGGGCTGATGGCTGAGCCGTGGGTCACGGGACCCTGGCCATAGCTGGCTCCCCCATCCAAGGAAGGGCCACTATCACTGGGCCGTGCATCCCCTTCCACACTACAAAGACAGGAAAGAGATGGATGGATGATTAGAGACGGTAGAAGGAAAGAAAAATCTCTGAGGCAGTACTGGATTTAAATATTATCAGGTTAGTTCAATCCCAAAATGCCTTAACAAAGAGTAGCTTAAGTTAAATATCCATTATATACAATTAAGTATGGTATTAGAAATATGGTATTGCACAATAGCATGGGTGTGAATGAATATAGCCTTTTCTGGGGCATGCGATCCTGACATACTGCATAAACCACACTTAATTAAATTCAAAGCTGTCTGATGCTAATAGATTTCGCAGAAGAAATTACTAGTGTGTCATAGTTTTTGCTGTACCACATTTAGGAGACACAAAAGACACATAACCGCTCCTAAAATAAAATACATTTGCAGTAACACAGTCCTTGTGCAATTGCTTCCTTTACAAATACTGAGAAAGGAACAAAAAACAAGCGATTACTCACTCACTCTTACATTCTACCACACTAGAGGTCTGCCTCTTACGAAGAGACCGTCTATTTTCAATAAAATGCCAACTCTTCCTCCATATCTTGTCCACCATTCTTTCTGTCAAATGAAGTCCAGAGTACACAGAATCCTCCAGGAAATCCAGGTTTATGTCAGCTCAGGGGCCAATCAGTGGCCCAGGAGAATTACATCATATTCGCAGTAGCGACGACACTCTGTTCCAATTCTCGTTACAAAGTCCAGTTTGGAGAAGAGTGAGTAAATATAACTTCAGTGATCCCTCAGTCAAAAAACAGAAATGCCTTTCAGAGGTGCCGACCCGCTCTGTAACTATCATCACACCAACTTCCCTTCTCCTCTGATACGATTAATGCACAGTTCACTGGCAGCCTAATGTGTTTGAACTGTGACTTGACACACCCATGCAGCGTACACATCTACTTCCTTTATTGGACTGCCTGAAATCAACATTCGGCAACAGCCTGTCAAACACAGCAAAGAGCACAAGCGAAAAAGTGGAACTGAATTTGGTTCAGGAGTTCAGATGGCAAATGTACTGTAATATAAGTGTAAACTCTTTTTGTGACTTCCGAGTAACCCCGCTCAGCACGAGGATTTTATGGTTAATAAAAGACAGCGAGGCTCAGATGTAATATCTGCCTCAGCTGAGTTTATACTTGTCATTTAGGAAATTTGAACTGGATTTACAACCCACAGCATGTCTTTTGATGTCCCTAGATTTGTGATTAACAGAGAAAGTGCAACAGAAATTGAAAATGTTTTCAAAATTGCAATAACTACACTTGCAAGGCTTAAGGCAAGTCATTATTAGTGATTAACATATGAGTCATGGATGTTTGCAAAGGCTTCAGGCAGCTTAGTTTTCAGATCAACACAAATGCTTTGGAGAATAACGCCCCCCTCCAAAAAAGCACTACTGCTTTTCAACTAAAGATTTTAGAGTGAAATATTAAAACAGATTGCACTTGGCTGCCAAACCATCATTAATAATTTTTAGGAAAAGCACAATCCCGAAAATACTCAGCCTAATTCCACAAAATAAGATGGCATTTGGATGCAAGTGGAAAGAACACACTCATAGGACACTTTCATAACTACACCCATTCAAAAATGTCTAATCAGCCAATCATGTAGAAGCAACTTAATATGTTTAGGCATGCAGACACTGCCAAGATAACCTCTTGAATTTCAAACTAAGTATCACAATGAGGAAGAAAGGGGATTTAAGTGACTTTGAACGTGGGGTGGTTGTTGGTGCCGAACAGGCTGGTCTGAGTATTTCATAAAATGTTGATCTACCGGGATTTTCAACCATCTTTATGATTTACAGAGAACTGAAAAGGAAAAACTATCCAGCGAGGGTCAGACTGCTTCAAGCTGACAGGAGGGGGAAAGTAACTAAAATTTTTACTTATTACAACCAAGTTACGTAGAAGAGCATCTCTGAACAACTTAGACAACAAACCTTGAAGCAGATGGGCTACAGCACCAGATGACCACACTGGTATTACTCTTGTCAGCCAACTCTCCTGTCAGGAGACTGAGGTTACAATTTGCATGACCTCACCAAAAGTAGAAAAGAGATGGGTGGAAAAATTGTGCCTGGTTTGAGGGTCATTCAGACGGTAGGGGTGTTAACACCATGAAAGCATGGATCCATTCTTTCTTGTATCAATGGTTCACACTGGTATTTCACAGGGGATATTTCTTAACTGAGCATTGTTAAATCACCACAGCTTACCAAACTAATGGGCTGATCACGCCCATCCCTTTATGACCACAGTGTACCCATCTTTGATGGCTGCTTAATGTGTCACGTCACAAAGCTCAAATCATCTCAAGCTGGTTTCTTAAACATAACAATGAGTTTACTGTACTCAAATGGCCTCCATCGTCACTAAATCTTAAACCAATAGAGCACATTTGAGATGTGGTGGAACAGGAGATCAACTTCATGGTTTTGCAGCTCACAATTCTGCAGCAACTGTGTGGTGTTAACACGTCAATAAGGACCAAAATCTCTGAGGGTGTCTCCAGCACTTCGCTGTATCTGTGGCACAAATATTTAAGGCATTTCTGAAGGCAAAAGGAGCTTCAAACAAGTATTAGCAAGATGTATCTAGTAAAATGGCCAGTAAACTTATGAGGGAGTGGAGATGAGCCATTCAAGGTCAGCCAAACCCACAGTCAGACAGTGAAACGTCAAGCTAAGTAAATGCTTACCAACTCCCCTCAGGGTAGAAAATACACATAGTGTTTTAGTATGGACCAGTGCACAGCAACAGAGCCAGACTTGCCCTTTACATAGCTGCAGCAACGCTAGTACCTAGCAAAACACATTCAAGATCATACTTCATTGCATAATCACAGCTGGGATAAAAGTTCCCAACCATCTGTCAAAGCTGTCATCCCTGGAGTTAAAAATTACACTGTGTGTGCTGTCACTGTGTGCTTGCAGGTGGCAGTCATTGTTTTTTATTTCTTCATTTGAGATAAATGAAGAATTAACGTTATGATGACACAAGGGATTTGGACATTAGTCAGGAGGAGTGGGCATTTAACAAATGTGACATTTCTCTGACATAGACTTTGTTAGTTCATTTGGCTTCATTTTTCTTTTAATACCAAAATGATGGTTTGTAATCAAAGTCTACAAACATTTTTAGCCAAACCAGCACTAATGTCCATTTTTGGGTCGGTGGCTCAACTCATTTTAATTTTTGCGTTGCTTGCAATGACATTTTGTACACACAGTGAGTTTAATGACTTTACTGATCCTCCTAATTTTCATCTAGCACTATTATCAGGTCAACTTTGCGTGTCTTATCTGCTTCATTAGACCCCGTAGATGTTATTTAAGCTTAGCACTGTTAATGTGAAAATGTTAGAATGTTAATCTCAGTATTTACCTGCTAACGGTAACCTGACAGAGCTCTTAGGATAACTAAAGTATTGCTATCATTATGTAATGCAGTTTAAATTTTTTTTTCTTTTGTACCAATTTGTTGGGAATAATTGCCTTTTCATTGTTTTGCTTAATTGCTTCTGTAATTATTTATGAACCAAAATAAATTTCAATTTATGCTAATAAGATGGTAAAACGAATTGAGTTTAATTGAAATCATTGAAAACACAAAATGCATGCCACCGTTAATAATTACAGCAGTGCACATCTAAAAAGAAAAATAATAATTATATTAATTTAAAAACATATTAAGGCAAAAGTTAAAACTCTAACTGTAATAATTTTCCCCGGGTGAGACCTGTGAGCCAGCTTCTTTACTACATTTTGTTAATAACTACTCTGCTTTTTACCAGCCTAGCATCCAAAGAGTGTTTGAGTGAAAGCAAATGGAAGAAAGAGAGTGAGAATAAGTACTGCTGTACAGTCAGTGAAAACTCTACAGAGCGAGGTCAGCTGCCAGTGATGGAGGGAAAAAGCTGGGAATAAGAAGAGAGTGCATCATTTTAAGATCTGCACTGATATTTTAAGCTTAAATGGCTGGTGGAAAAGGGAAAAAGAGCGGGAGAACTATTACAGAGTCAGATATTAATTATTCGGTGGATACAAGTGGCTTCAAATGACTTTGAAATGAATGTTTTATACATGTTTTGGACTTTAATATGTGAGCATTGTGGAACCCAATGTTGAGTGGTGGGGGAAGCAGTGATGTCATGCCACACCACTTCCTGATAGTGACTGTACAAGCCTTGAAATATGATCTCACAATATTAGCCCCGACTGTCCCTCCGTCTGGCTCTTTATCCACCAGGAGCCCCCCCTCCATGAGCTCTGATGTAGGCATGGATAAGCACGTCAGCACGGCTGGCAGTGATTTTCAGCCACAGGATCCAGGGATTTGGAGGGGTGGTGGGGGGAGAATCGACAATCTCTCTTTCCTCCAAACACATCCTGAACAAACAGGCCGAGGCCCCTGCCCAGGCCTCAACCCGTACCATCAGTCGGACCTGAGGGAGAAACATTCCTCCATCTCGGAAAAGAGGAGTCACATCTACAGGAGTTCTGGGAATAGCAGAAGGCTAATGAAGTACAGGCTGGAGTTAGAAAGGAAGAGACTGCTGCAGTGTGTAACTAGCGCAACTTCCAAGCAACGTCACAGAGAAGTTTACCAAGCTAAAACATAACTCAGTTGTAAACACTAAAGCGATACACACATAGAAAAAATATTTCTACTAGCATTGCATTCAAGGCCTCACTTTTGCCATTTTTCCAACTTTAAAAACATGTAAGTAATGTAGTGAGATTTCATTGAAAGCAAGCAAGCTCATGGGGGAGTTTCTTAAAGTGTTAGCATGTGCAGAGAAAAGACTCATGTATGTTTGAAAACATTGTTGCTGGGGAACAATCTAGACATTGTTATATATTAAATTACAGTACCTGTAAAGTTACAGAGGAAGGTCAAATCTGATTAAAAAAAAGTTACTTTTCTTCTGTAGCTTCTTTGTAGGACCTTACCATTTATAGAAATATATTTCTTTATGTGTGTATCTGAACAGAGGCTGTGAAGTGACCCTTCTAATAAAACGAAACAGCGCTTCCATACCGCACCGCACACCCCACATGCAGTGACAGCATGCGCTCCAAGCACAACAAAAGCAGATGTTTTTCCCTCTTTTGAAAGCAACTCAGAGAGCTCATAAATACAGATGCACACACCAGATCTCACTGCACACAGATGTGATGGAATAAACTTTTCAGGTAAAAGGTCTCGCAGACCACACAGAGGCATAATGATGAAGCCCAGCATTAAAAGCTCGAATTGCCAGAAAACACTATATGTCATTTCAGTACCAATAATTGGACTAATGAATTACTTTTTTTAGCTGCTCTAAACACACACACACACACACACACACACACACACACACACACACACACACACACACACACACACACACACACACACGCACACACACACACACACGAGCAAGTTGGGAATTTACAGTTGGACAAAGCTACGAGCTGGAACGCTGCTCTGGCCTGCAGACTGACAGTAATGCTCCTGACAGTTTGCAGCAGACAGTATATAGTCAACTGGAGTCTCATAAGCCTCGTGGCTGTCAACTACTGTAAGTTGTATCATTCAGAATGAGAGTTTTAGGATCTGACTGTCTTTATATATTTCAGACTGCCATTTGGCATCTAATGTTATCAGAACCAAGGGTATTAAATAGCTATACCCGAGAAAACAAGCACATTTTTCCTTTGTTTTGAAAACTACAACCATAGCCAATTGAGGATAATTAGCAACAGTAAAATTCCTATTAATACCGGAAAAGCAGCTTTTCATTTCTCTGCCAAGGAGAGAGCTGAGGCAGAGCCTTTTGATAACTAAGCTGAATTTGGTATTGCCTTGGTGGAGGACAATCTTCAAGTTCCTCTCTATTTGCATCAAGCTTGCTGATTACAGGTATGCAATCATTCATCAGGTGCCACTTAATGTCCACACAATAATGGAAAAAAAAGTATACAGTAGCAAACTGAAACATACGCCACTGCCAGTATGATGAGTAATTTGATGGTTTGTACATGCCACTGAATGACTTGTTGCTTAAGGAAATCTAAAGTCAATATTACTCTCACGCAGTAACTAACAGTCCTGGTTCTGTCTGATCATCCATCCTCCCCCCTCATGTCAAGATTCAGCAACAACAAAAACAACAACAACTGAGCCACTGTCATTATCTTTCAGTGATGAATCATTAAGCTGTCCTCCAGCACTACGCTCAGCACCTGCCCTTGAAGACAGAGCTATGAAAGAGCACACAGCCGTGGCCAAGTAAGTGGGAGGGCCACGACACACCATAGGAATGCCCTTCAACGGAGCGGAGGGGGAACAATCCAACTCAGATGGATTCTGTACAGTAAGACTAAACATATTATGATAGCACAGGCATACAATGACGCACAGAGAGGGCATGATCTGTTTTTAATTAGAATGGAGTCAAAGCTGGAAATGCAGACAACACTTTAAAAGTCAGTCATATATAGTGCAAAGCTTTACATTACTGCCGTCATTATAAGAGGATCGTGTGAAATCATAAATGGAGTCCTGGAACACGGTGAATGATTCAAACTCATAGCAGCTCTCTTCCTCTCCTGTGTTTATTAAACACAGGCTTATGAGGGTTAGCAGCCAGGTGTATCCTCATTCAATGACAACACACACACTCACACATTAAATCAAGCACAGTGTACACTCTCCTATTACTCTTACCAGCTATTCAGCTCCAGCTCCAGCAGTGACTGGGTCTTCTCTGAATTACACTGCAAACACCACATGCTGGCCAGCACTTGTAAGAAGATGTACTCCAAACATTAGCAGATCTCCCACCAGTCCCCAGTGCTCCCTAAAAGGCTCCTCTAAAAGACAGACACAACTCAAAACTGCCATCTGCTATAGCTTGTAGATCTCTGCCACTTACAGACGTTTTCATTTCGTTGCCTTGTGATAGCAGTTTCCTATAGATGGTAGGCGTGCATGGTCAGTACTAAGTGGCAGTCTGCAATCTTTGACAGTCAAATGGAGCCCTTTCTTTTTCTCTTTCTTCCTCTCTGTCGTCAGTGCGCGGGGCTGGTAGGAGTATAAGGGGGGTGGAGGCTATGAGACAGGGGAGTGAGAGTTTCTGCCAGGGCCCGAGCGGTATGGAAGAGGGCGGGGTGCTGGGAAGGGGGTGTGAAAGTGTGGAGGCTTTGTAGCTGGGCAGGAAGAGAGAGAGATGGAGATGAAACACTTATCATGCAAGAAAGGGACACACATGACCAGAGAGGAGGCGACGTGGAAAAGAAAGTCATGTTTTTCAGGCACGCTATCAAAGTGTAAAGACATGAAAAGGAGAGAGAGAGTGACAGCTGGGAATAAAAGATAAACCAATGCACTAAAAAAAAAAAAAAAAAAAAAAAAAAAAAAAGCCAGGAGGGAGGGTAAGAGAGTGGCAGCTGAGTTAAGTGCATATAGGTATAGTAGAAAAATAGGAGTGAGATGGAACAGAGAGAAATGGGTAAACAATAAAGTATGAGGAGAAAAAAAAGAGAGTGGTTGAAGGAAACAGGGTTTGGAGTGTTTGAATGTCAGGATCTTTTGTTAGCTCTTTTTACACAAAAGGAAAAGGACTGACTTGGTAGCGACTGCAAATAAAAGAGCGCCTCTATTAATAGAGCCTTTCAGGGCTGAGCAGTGACTGTTAAGATGTGCACTAAGAAAAGGGCTACAGATTCGGTGTCTTTCGCTGCAGAAAATCACAACAGATACACAATAGAAGCTGTGTATCTTTATGTCTTCAATTTTCACTCGCCTTGAAACAAACACTGCTTCATGGATAGTGTTACACACTGCATGAAATTCCCCTCGTACTGCACCATCAGCGCAAACCTCACCAAGCCCCAAACACACAAACTGTGATGGTGTCTTGTCTCTGGACTTCACAGTGTTGTTGAGACAGGGCAGAGACTAATCACCCCTCTGAGAAAAGGGGGTTGGAGTAAACTGCCCCCAAGCCAAAGGTATTTTCTATCTAATGACAACAGGCACAGGAAACGGAGGAGAATGACTCCCACATGGAGCCAGTTTACAGGGACACCAATCATCCACAGAGGCGTCCACACCAGTCTGTAAAAGAGAGGGATCCTGAATTCTTCTAATTACAGACCCGAACCCCTAAAATGATCACCTTGTCCGAACTGTTTTCATCTGAGGCTTCAAATGAAAGATGCAGAATGAGAGACAAAAGCATAAGAAAGGGTTACTTAAGGAGAAAAAGCAAGTGTATCTCAACATGTGTCATGGATCACAGCAGGGGAGACTTACTTGCAACGTGTGACTCAGTCACAATGAGTATGTGCAGAAAGGCAAGCAGGCAGACAGACAGTAACCGGCCAACTGGTCTATTTCAGTTTGAGACCTTGACCCGTACTGTGGCGGCTACAGCTGCTAATGCCTTATGGAGCTGCAAGATAGTTGACTCAACTTACAGAACTCACCTATCACGCAAACACACCATAAACAAAAATGGGAACAAAAGCAATTTAAGACCTCCCTGTAATAAATCTGACATCCTCATTACTGAATCATTTTGTCACACTTCACCCAAGACACAAACACAGATGCAGGCATTTAGTTTGGAAATATGTGCATGATTTTAGATATTTGCCCCAGCAGATGCTTTGTTTTCTCTTCCCCCCACAGTGGACCACAGGGAGCCGCTAACTAGAGTTTATTTGTTTTTGACTGCAATATGAAGTAATATTGTGGTCTCATTTTGAAGGCGAGCGCACGATGCGTATCAACCTCAAGTATATTATGACTGTTTCATCATGGGGCACAGGGGTAACGTCAGTTTAGGCATCAAGGAGGGTTATGCTGAAATGATCTAATTAGAGGTATTCCAGGTAAAACTGGGCTGTAAAAGTTTTCACAAACCTAGCTGTCCTGTGTAATGTTCCCTGTCTGCCTGCCTCCACGTCTCTCTCCTCCTCTAGTGTTACAACCCAGTCTAGTCGTCCCGTCTGGTGAAGGCCCACTCCATCTCCTGAGCCCTGGCTGCACAACGCTTTACTCCAAAATGATGTCATTGAGAATTCCAAGCAGAGGCCCACTCTCCGCTCATAAAACTGTATTTCTCCAACTCAATACATATGGTCTCTCTGCATTTCAGCTCCTACTCTATCACTCTCCTGCAAATCCAAACCCTCCCTTCGTTTCCTTCCCTTTCTTGTCTCAGAGTAAAAAGAAAGCTAACTACAGAAAACAGGGGACCAGTCCCAACAGGCCCCAAGCGGTCAACATACCTACAGCTTTATCAAATGCTTCCCACAGATGTAGTACCTAAGTATCAGGCAAAGAAAAAACACGGACTTTCCAACTGCAAAGAGAATGAAAAAAGGCAGAGCAGAAGAAAAGAAAGCAAAAGAAACGACAGGGGGGGAAAGTGATATCTTCCTGGAAACTTGGTCACAAGTTTGGCAGACGGTGCTCTGTCTACATGACATCATGCATCGTTACTCATTATCTGCTTTTGCTGGATGCTGAGCGACTGAGACCTGCGCTAAGAAACGGAAAATAAAATGAAAACTCAGCCTTCGCCTGGTCTGGAAACAATTAGAACAGGCTGATGTCATAGTTTGATACAACAGCATACTAAATGAGATGTAGTGGCCTGGGATAGTTTTGTGAACACAGAGAACTTTGTATAGGGGCAAAAAAACCCAAAAACAAAACAAAAAACACATCATTCCTCTGTAAATTCTCAGGAACAAAGAATTTCTGTGCATAAGGAGGGTCTGGCAGCAGATGTTTAAATAGAGCTAAAATAGAAGTAATTAAAGGATATGCAGAATCTGTTCATCACATCCTGGCAGCAAAGCTGGAGCAGATGTGTTGCCTGTGGGATCCTATGGGAATGATCAAAGATCATCAGTGGCAAGTGATGTCTGTGAGGCTTTTCTTTTTCCCTGTTTGCATATTGTTGCAGTAATGCATCCAGATGCAAACAAAAACTGAAGGTTTTGGGAGAGATGACTTTTTAATTTACCATATCCTTTCCTCTAACTATAAGTACATTGTGAGATTCTTTTGAACTCTTACTGAAAATTGTCTGGCGACAGGCTGACCAGTAGCAAGAGTAAACAAAATCCTGGTGAAAAAGCAGGCTTGCTTCATTATTCTTCGAAGCTTTAGTGGGACATTTTTCAAAAATATTCACTTCCTTGTTTATTTACATGAGAATATTCATACCACTTTACCTTAGATTATCATTAAGGATGGATGCAGGGAGGAACAGTTAGCTAGGAGGTCACGATGCACAGCCAATAAATGCTCCAACAGATTGCTTAG